TTTTTAGAGATGGTTGTGTAGCTCAGACTAGAATGCAGTGGGCTATTCATAGGTGTGATTATGGTGCACTACAGCCTCGAACTCCTGGCCTCAAGCAACCCTCATGAGTAGCTGGGACTACAGGCAAGTGCCACTGCACCCAGCAAAGATGGATAATTTTGTTATAACATCGTCAGTATGCCTTTTCTTCTGTGGGGCCTGATGTGACATTTAGAGTTCATTTGTCCCATTTTCTCTTTTGTCATTATCTTATCAATCTCAGGTTTTGGTATATTTGGACAAGTCAATGATTTTCACTCTCTTTTTAAACCATGTCCTCTACTGTTCAGTTTCACTGTATTTTTTGCATTCCTTCACTAGCCAAGATCATTTGGTCCATTATACAAAGAAAAGTATACAAATCATAAGTCTGATATACAACATTTTAATCATCATTGATTGAAGCCAAGGGGAAAAAAAAACAAACTTTAGTAGTTAAAAGTGCTATCTTAGTCCAGGTGCGGCAGCTCACGCCTGTAATCCTACTTTAGGATTTACTTTAGGATTACGTGCTTTGGCAGGCTGAGGCAGGAGGATTGCTTGAGGCCAGGAGTTTGAGATTAGCCTGGGCAACATAGTGAGACCTGTCTCCACAAAACATTTCTTAAAAATTAGCCAGGTGTGGTAGTGCGCACCTATAGTCCTAGCTACTCGGGAGGCTGAGTGGGGAGGATTGCTTGAGCCCAGCAGTTGAAGGCTACAGTGAGCTATGATCACACTACTGCACTCCAGCCTGAGTAACAGAGCAAGATCCTGTCTCTAAAAAGACAAGAAAAACAGTGCTATCTTTTTTTTTCTTTTCATTAATATTTATTGAGCCCCTATTAGGTACGAAGCCCTGTTCTAGGTACAGGAAACATAGCAAAGTCCCTGATTTCATGGAGTTTATGTAACATAAATCAGTGTGAAATCTGTGGGGGTGGAAAACAGATAAAATATATATATATGTGAAGTAGTTATAACTGCTAAGAAAGATATAAAGTAGGATAAGGTGACCAAGAGTGACAGAGGGTCAGAAGTGGCAGCTATTTTAAAAAAAGTGACATTTGAGCAGAGAGAGACTTGAATGAAGTAAGGAAAAGAGAGGTGAGGGTGTCTGGGGAAAGCTTAGTGCAGGTGGTGGAAAGGATAAGTCAGTCAATGTGGCTGGAGCAGAAGCGTGAAGAGGAAGATGACAGAAGGTGGCCCCAGCTGGTGGGATTTTGTAGGCCATGGTTAGGACTCTGGATTTTATTCTCAGTGAAACAGGAAGCAGCCATTGGAGAGTTTTGGGCAGAGACATGACAGGACCCGATTCACTTTTTAAAGGATCATTGTTTCTGCAGGTGAAGAAAGACACACGGGGCCGGGGGGAGCAGGGAGACCAGCGGGGAGGCGGCAGCGGACTGAAGTAGGAGGGGCGTGGGCAGGTAGGAGGGGCGTGGGCAGGATGGGAAGCGGCTGAATTCAGGCCATGCATTAGCGTTAGAGCTGCCAGGATTTGCTGACGTGTGAAAAAAAGTCAAGGATAATTCCAAGGTGTTTTGGGTTGACCAACTGTAAGAATGAATTTGTCCTTTACTGAGAAGAGGGAACACTTGGGGAAGAGCAGGTTGGGGGTAGAAATCAGGAGTCTGTTCCTAGCCACGTTAAGTCTGAGATGCCCATTAGACACGCAGGGGAAGACGCCAAAGAGACGACTGAGCCAACAAAACTGGAAGCTGAGGAAGGGGTCTGGGCTGGAGATTCGAAATCAAAGGCCCAAAGGAGATGTCCTAGGGAGACGGTGCAGAGAGCAGAAGATCCAGAGTCCCCCGCACAACCAAGAGGGACAATAAGATGGAGAAGAACCAGCTGAGAAGGAACCACCACTGGGGCAGGAGAACCAAGAGGACATGGCTCCCAGAAGCCGTGGTAGGGACAGGGGTCCCCCGGCCGATGCTGCTGGCGGGTTCTGGATGATGGGGACTGACCAGCGCTTTGGCCAGGAGGTCACTGGTGACCTTGACAAGAGCGGTCTCGGAGGAGTCGGGGAGAGGAGGTGTCTGAATGGCACACGTGAGAACCAGCAGAGGGAATGCGGCGTTAACTGCTTTGCGGAGTTTCATGATAAACTGAAGCAGAGAGAAGCTAGAAGGAATGTGGACCCAGAGAGGGCTTTTGCTTTTGTTCTGGGAGGGGAGCTGTCACAGACTGTTTGGGTGCTGATGAGATTCAAACAGACCTTGAGAGAGGGGAGGCTGATAAGGTAGGGAAAGGGACTCTATCTTATATTAATAACTACTATTGTACAATACGGTGACTATAGTTACTAATGATGTTTTGTATTCTTGCAAATTGCTAGGAAAATAGATTTCAAGTGTTCTCAACACAAACAATAAGTATATGAGGTCATGTATATGTTAATTAGCTGGATTTAGCCATTCCACAATGTATACATATATCAAAACACCATGTTATACATGATAAATATATACAATTTTTATTTGTCAATTTAAATAAAATAAAATAAAATAAGGACAGTATTTCTGGACTGATAAATAGAAAGAAATACACCATTCCACAAGCAAAATGGACGCAGAGTGGCGTTCCGGCTGGCTCACCTGTGGGCATGGGCTCACTTGGGCACTCCCCCGACGCCTTGTCATCACTGTCGTTCTCACACAGGGCCGTGGTTCTTCCTCTCCATTCGTTTTTAGGGAGCAGTTCCACGACCACCACGTCTCCGTGAATCGAGCGGTTTCGAGCCTTCATCCCGTGGATTAGGATGTCACTGACTAAATCTGTGTTCGGGGCAGCACAGGAAAACCCCATAAAGCCAAGGGCTGCCACCCCAGCGAGGCACTCCAGACATAACGTACGTGACGTACCATCGGCACCCCTGCAGATAAAAGCTGCTTCCTTTCCAAGGTGAAGTCAAACTTCTTCTGTTCTGCAGGCTAGGAGTGAAGGAACGCCCACCACATCGTGTTGTGCTTTCATAAGGGGCACCCTCAATTAACTTTTTAAAAAAATTCCTCCTTACCCATCACCTTTTAAAACAGGTATTAGTTCCCTGCATAAACCAGTCAAATACCTTCAGGCGGCCACACAGCCCAGGGAGCGGTCAGCGCGCTGATGAGCTGTGGACGCCGCGGAGCTGACTCGGCTAATTCTGATGAGCAAAACCCACGGAAAGCCACTGTTGCTCATGCTCCTTCAACATGACCATGCTCCTTTGAGCAGCAGCCTTCTTCTTCACTCTGTTATTACAGAACTAAAAACTACACTCTAGTACACTGTAACTTCTTCATATACTTTCCATTTTTATTACTTTTAAAAAATTATTCTAATATGACAATATAGCACATCGAGACAGCACAGAGTAACGTCTTGAAATCACAGCCAAACCGCCTTGGCTGCGAGTTCCGCACCACCACGTAGCAGGTGTGTGAACTTGGGCAAGTCACATTCCTTCTCCATATTTTAGTTTATGTTTATTACAATAAAATCAGAAATTATACAGAAAAAGCTAGGGGAAAAAAACCCCACAATCCTACACACCCAAAGTATGTGGAGTTGTACAACATGCATGGCACATACAATGGGACGAGCTCAAGTTTGCTTTCTCCATTGTGTAATATCAGAATTAATAAGTAGTATGGGCCAGGTGCAGTGGCTCATGCCTGTAATCCTGGCACTTTGGGAGGCCAAGATGGGAGGATCACGTAAGGCCAGGAGTTTGAGACCAGCCTGGGCAACACAGCAAGACCCCATCTCTAAAATAAATTTTAAAAATTAGCTGGGCATAGTGGCATGTGCCTGTAGTACTGTAGTGCCTGTACTCGGAGGCTGAGGCCAGGAGTTGGAGGTTGCAGCGAGCTGCTATTGTGCCTCTGTACTCCAGCCTGGGCCACAGAGTGAGGCCCTGTATCTGGGGGAAAAAAAAAGTAGTATGGAAATTTATGGAAGGTTTATACTGAACCTGAATCTTTACTGCTTGCTCCTTGAAGTCGAACAAAAGCTTCTATTTGTGCTCTGTGTTTGTTGACGTTCAGAATTCCCTAAAATCATAATTAAAAATCAACGTGAAAAATTTCTTTTCTGTGTAGTTTACCTTCAAAAGGTCTAGTTTTTAAAACCATACGAAAACATCCCTGTAATATTCTTATAAGGTGTGTGATCCCTTTCTTTAGGAATAATATTAATCACCAAAGTTTCTTTTCTCCAGAGGAATTACCATCATTTTGAATTACTCCTAGCTACAGCAAGTGCTGAAAGTACCGAGATCTATCATACCTAAGTGATGAGCAGTCTTTAAAAACTCCTATGTCTCAAAATATCCTCCCAGGAATGCCATAAACTTTACTACCAACTTGGAAACATTAGCCTCTCTAGCAGACTCATTTAAAATACCCACACTTTAGGGAGGCACTTTGGTGTGGTGTTCTCAAACTTCAGCTGCCATACAAATCTTCCGAGTTTATTAGAAATGTAAAATCCATGATGGACCAGTTGTGTATCGTGATTGTGGTGGTGGATACACAAATCTATGCACGTGATAAAACTGCATAGAGCTATACGCAGACAAATGAGTGTATATAAAACATGGAGATCTAAATAAAAACTTTATCTGACTCCTTCCCAAGACCCTGACGGCATCTGGGTCCTGGGGGATCACAAAGAGGCCAGAGAATGGCAAAGGAGTGAGGAAGCTAAATTTCGCCCGTTTTACGATGTTGCCAAACCACAAGACCTTGATTCAAAAATGTGTTTCCTTCCTAGTGACAGGAGGCATTTACAAGGCTACTTCCACACTCTGCGAGAGGCTCAATATATAACAGGATTAGGAGCACTGTCACAGAGCAGCTTCAAGCCGGACAGCCTGCGTCTATAGGAAGAATGACTCCCAAATCCCCCTAACCATTGACAGCCCTGACTTACTCACGCCCACCTTGTCTGCAGCCTGTGAAATCAGAGGCCTGTGACAGGAGGCCAGTAAAGAAGAGAAGAAATCATACCGGCTGGTCCGACACTGATTCATTACCGCCCTCACCTGGATGTAGCGTCCAGACTTAATCCCAGCCTCTAGCACCTCCAGGGGAAGATGCTCTGGGTACTCCTTCCC